CCGCAGTCCACCTGCCCACTCAATAATATGAAAATTCATACATAATTAAGTAGAGAGAGGGAGAGAGAGAAAATGGGGAAGGTTCAGAACAATCAGTCCCCTACAATGAACCATATTGAATTTGCCTGATATTAATAATATTTCTTATGATTATGTGAAAACTTTCATTTCAATCTGGGCATGGCTACATACAATACAATACAATAAATTTCATTTCATGTCGGTTATAAATTGAATGGAAACATTAGCTTTAAAGCTATTCTCCGACTGAAACATGTAAATTATATATGGGATTGTCTATAATGTTAATGTATGCACTGTTTCAGGTATGAATGCAGCGGTTAGAGCAGTGGTGAGAATGGGAATATATGTTGGCTGTAGAGTCTACTGCATTAGAGAGGTGAGTTTACTGCTTACAATGATTTAATCAGTTTGAGATGGATTGCTCCATGCATTAAAACAATTCATACATTCAAAGTTACAATAATAGTTTCTGCAATTAACAACTAAAGTTCAGAATTATTAAAGATTTGACACTGATACGTCTTTTTGTAAGGAGTAAGGGTCAAATAGTGCCCCTAAATATGCCTGAACATTTGACACACACATTTGGAGTTACTCCCTGTACAGCTGTTTTATATCACTTCTTTAGATTTATTTCCATATTTGATTGTTATATCATTAGTATATAACAGCAAAAATAATCGGACAGATTGAATAGCATACAAATATTACACATTTAGTGTGTGTGTTTCACTGACATGCCTGAAATGCTCACTTAAATGTTTATTTTGTGGACTGACAAGTTATTGATTTTCACTTGCCCTAGGCAGTATACTATCTGGGGTAGCGCTAGCAATTTTTTTCGCTTAGCCAAATCACCACTTTTTTGTCAATTTGTTATCAAAATGGTTACAATTTGACTAACACGAGTCAAATCAAGCCCGTTTTCTTTAGCCAATTAAGGTCAGTTTTAGCATTTGGCTAAAATGGTGAGTGTTAGCACTACTCCCAGAGTGAGACTGAATTATTTCTGTTCCTCAGGGTTATCAAGGTATGGTAGATGGTGGAGATAACATAGTGGAAGCATCCTGGGCCAGTGTGTCTGGAATATTACAGCAGGTAATATACTTCATATTATAAACCAGACATGAGCTTTTTCCGTGGAAATGCAGTATTCTGTGTTTTTTCATTCAATTCCTAAGGCGGCCCTGAGACCAACGGCAGGTTAGGTGTTGGGTCCCATTATAAATGTTCAAAAAAAAAAAAAAAAAATTAAGCTGGTAAACAAGCTTTAGGGTGATAAACAGATAGAGGGAGAAGGGATGGACCCTTTTTTGTTACTTCTGGCCTCTCCTCTTTGATATCAAGAATAACCAATATTATAGAAATTTAGATAAAGTTTTAAAAGAAAAAAATACTATCCAAAAACAACTCATTTAAGGATTCGGGGACTTAAAGACTTGCAACCCAGGTTAATTAAGTTTTTTTTTCCCCATCTGCACATATACTTAATGTCCCCAGTTGATTCACCTCAAAATCAAAGACACATGTTAGGCTGTCAATTTCTTTTTTTTTCTTTTTTTTGCTATTTTAATTATTTTGATCTTGTAGTCTAGGCTTTTAGACCTTTGCTGTGTAAAAAGTTTTGTCTGCTGATGACACCGGGCTCGTTTCCACTTTCAGGGTGGAACCACCATAGGCAGTGCTCGTTGCAAGGATTTCCGTGAGAAAGAAGGTCGCCTGAAAGCTGCGTTTAACCTTATTCAGCGTGAGATTACCAACATTGTGTGTATTGGAGGAGATGGTAGCCTCACTGGAGCCAACTGCTTCAGGAACGAGTGGCCAGAACTGTTGCAGGAGTTGGTCTCTCAGGGTAGGTTGTTTATGTATAAGGAAATTAGACTGGACAAAATTGATAATGTGGTAAACAAGCTTTAGGTTGAATGACCCTTAGTTTGAAAAATAACATTTTTTCAACTGCAGTATTTATTTATCAATTAATTGTTTTTCTAATAATGATTGAGTTTGTTTCACAGGCTGTGCATATTTCTTTTCAAAATTCATCATTTCTAGGCAGTCACAAAATTTTACTTTCTGACACCATGTCCACTAGTTCATCAGAAATTTAGGTTTATGAAGTTTTCAGATTTTGATTGAGAAAGCCTTACTGTAGTAAGAGACTTGAAAACCCCTGGAACACTGGCTGGTGGAATGAAAAATTGATTTTAATGATTTATTTAAGTTATTTCTGTTGAATTATTGATAATTTTTTTTCTTTCTACATTTCAGGTAAAATTTTTTTAATAGCTTTATTTTTATTGTGAATGATTTATTTTTTATTTATTATAATTTTCTTGCTTCATTTCATATAAAAGTTTTATTCTTATTATTCTTCTTCTTAGGTAAGATCACAAAGCAGCAGGCAGACAAGTGCCAACACCTACATATAGTGGGTATGGTAGGCTCTATTGACAATGACTTCTGTGGTACTGACATGACTATAGGGACAGACTCCGCTCTGCATAGGATTATTGAGGCTGTAGACGCCATCACTACCACAGCACAAAGGTGGGGTTTGAAATGTCCTCATTGGTTTGTTAATCATATCAGAAATCTATTGTCTGAATCTTTTTATTTATTTGTTTATTTATTTTTTGAGATGCTCACTGTGGCTTATGAGAACTATTGAAGCTGTTGATTGAATAGAACTAATAATATTAAAGCTCTCGAGTATTTTTTTTTTAATTTTGTCATTTGTATTAACTCAGGTTGTGATAAATTTTATGATTTGAAATGAGCATACTTAAAGAAAAATGATTTCTCTCAAGTTAAATTTCTTCGTTATTTGAACAGTTTCTTTAAGAGAAGATTAATTGGTGTTTTTCCACTTCCAGTCACCAGAGAGCATTTGTTATGGAAGTCATGGGAAGACATTGTGGGTAAGAATTCCTTTTGATGGTATTATATTTTAACTTTTTTATCAATTGATACACACTTTCAGCCATTTGAAATGTTCACATCGGTATTAATTGCTACTGTAACAATTGTTTATAATATTATTTTTACCAGGATTGGGGTACAGGCCATCCAAATTTATTACCTTTTATTTCCTACAAAACTTCAGTGAGTCCAAGCCATCATTTTTGCAAAAAATGAAAAAAGAAAATATTGGTCCTCCGGTGATGCTGGTGGCCATCCAAGTGATTACTGGACGCTCCACTGGGAAAAGCCTCGAATTATAATTATTATTATTATGTACATAATACAATTATATTACAAACCATATTTGCAGGTACTTGGCACTGGTAGCTGCCTTGGCCAGTGGAGCCAGCTGGGTGTTCATTCCTGAGGCTCCCCCAGAGGAAAACTGGGAAGATAAATTCTGCGACTTCTTGGCACAGGAGAGACAGCTGGGCCGCAGGCTGAATATTATCATAGTGGCTGAGGGGGCCATAGATGTTAATGGTAGTCCTATTACAGCTACTGGGGTGCAGCAAGTAGGTGTCCAGTTGGGTGGTTATATATATATATATATAAATATATATATACACACACAGCAAGTCCACAACATCACTGCCATAGTTCCTTAAATGTTAGTGATGATGATATCTCTGATTTTTTGTGTTATTTTTATAATCTTCATGTAGCAGGTTGGCCAGTTCCTTATCGAGAAAAACATTTATTCCTTTGACAGGTGGCAGAATTCAGTGCTTAAGTAGTAAAATCATGTTTTACTTTCAGCTGATCACCAGTAGGCTGAAGTTTGATACCAGGGTCACTGTTCTTGGTCATGTACAGAGAGGAGGGAGCCCTTCTGCTTTTGACAGAATTTTGGTGAGTTATTGTACCTTTGTTATTGTAATTATTATTATTATTATTATCATTATTGATAAACTCAAAACGGTGTCCCACTTTTGCCTAAAATAACTAGACAGTTAAATGCTGCATGGTTAAGATTTAATTTAGATACCATTTTGTAGTTGTGACTTCTTCTGAGATGAAGTTTAAGTCTTTATGAATTATTGCTATATGTGGATGTATCAGAAATACACCTCTCTCTCTCTCTCTCTCTCTCTCTCTCTCTCTCTCTCTCTCTCTCTCTCATAATTTACTTTATCATCTCTCTCTCTCTCTCTCTCTCTCTCTCACACACACACACACACACACACACACACAAACACACACACACACATTAAATGTAATACCTTACACCTGTGCCCCTTCTCCTAGAGTACAAGAATGGGTGCTGAGGCTGTCCTGGCTCTGATGGAGGCCACCCCTGAGACTCCAGCATGTGTGGTCTCTCTGGACGGCAACCAGACTGTCAGAGTACCACTGATGCAGTGTGTGGAGAGGGTAAGTAATTGGGCAATTCAATTTTATTCATTTGGAGGGGGTGGGGTGTATTTTTTCTTGCTTTAATTTTCATAATCTTTTGATATTTATTGTGAGCAGATTGTTCCTTATAATTTAAAAGCAAGAGTGCTGCTATATTTGAAGGCGGGTAATCATTTTGAAGTGTTCTAAACATCAGCCATCAGTGAAATGCATGATAAAAGATGAAAGTTCTTGGGTGGTAAATAGTGGATTGTATTGCCTTACAGACCCAGATGGTGCAAAAAGCCATGAATGCGAAGAAGTTTGATCTGGCTCAGAGATTGCGTGGAAGGTAAAATGTTTTTTATGGCTGTAAACCAATGGAAATGTGTTTAGGAAAGTACTACTACAGAAAGAGAGTAATATCTGAGAAAATCAAAGAAAACAGAGAGGAAAAAAAAATCAAATTCAGATTAATCTTCCAAAAATGATAACTTCAAGAAATATATCAATTTTTATAGCTTTTGCCAGTGCCTTTTCTCTATGAAGATGTAGATAAAGATATTGTTAAGAAGTTCTTAAATGTAAAGAGAGAAATAAAAAATAGAAACAAAATGCAACATCATTCATTCCATCTTACAGGAGCTTCCAAAGTAATCTATTTACTTACAAAAGTCTGAGGAAACTTCGCCCGCCTCCAGCTTCAGCCTGCAATCCTGAAGGAACCTGTCAGGTAGATATAACTTTGGAATACCCTCTCGGAACAAATCTCTACCCTAGAGTCTTTATTCCTAGCCTTCATCTCTGAGATGGTTTTCTTGAGTTAGGGCTACCTTTGTCATGTAACTGCATTTAGTCAGAGAGCAACCAGATCTGTAGTCAAGGAGGTTCAAACAAAGAGCTATTTTTGCTGGGGAAGAAGTCTGTTCTGGGTAAAATTTATCTAAGTACAAAAAGATTTTATGGTGAAAAGTCGACTTTTTTTAGATAAAGGATCTCCCCCCCACCCTCAATATGGGCCTTGCAGTACCAACTTTCCTCTTGAAAATTGCTCTTACAAATATAGGTTCATGACGTACCTTTTTAAGTTTATATTAGCACAGAAAGGAAGTGGAAAAATATGATGAGAAGTGATTAGCATAAAATAACTGAATTTGTTATCTTGGAATGTCTATGAAGATTATCGTGTATATCAAAAGACTCAGGAACTTGGCCGCTAATATCAGTATATCCCTGTTTCTTCCAGTTAACTCTGAAACTCGGGTTATCTCAAGACATTCTTAGATATGGCCTATTTACTACTTCGACTTCCTAAAAATATAATAAATAATAAATGGACAAAAGTATATTGATACACCAGGCATAATTATTTGAATTTTCAAGACGGATGTTTACAACTGCTCTCTAGCCAAATGCTGTTTCTGCTAGCTTGGCATCCATAACATGTCTAATGCAAGGTTTTCCCCAGATACACAGACCAAATAGGCAAAACAAATGTTTGGCAAGATATCATTTTCATTGCCTTTCAAACAGGCGGGTTTGGGATGGACATCAGAGGATCTTGATATTTATTTATTTATTTATTTATTTATTTATTTATTTATTTATTTATTGGCATGAGCAGCACTAGGAAATGCTGTAACTGTGTACTTTGATTTTTCCCTGTATTCTGTGTTTTTCACTTCAACTTGGATAAATCTGTCTTATGAGGTTTACTAATACAACTGTATTTTGTGGATTGTTGATTTTTAATTTCTTTGTAGCATAATATATTTTGTGTGTGTTTTTCACTGGGCAAAGTATACATAGGGTTTAGTTCAGACCCAGAAGGGGTGGTTGTCACTCGGTGACTGCTTTGTAATGGGCGCTGACATCTTTTCCATTTACTCCTAAGGCCAGACTAAATTGATATGTTTGCTATAAAGCTTGGATTCTGTAAACAGATTTGGGAGGATTTAAATGAAAAATTAATGTGATTTTTTACGATTCTAACAGCCAAAATTTAGGGTTTTCTACTTTTCTTTTGTTTTTCCTAAAGTAAATATTAACTTATTGTTTCGTTTGAAAAATAAGGCTGTAAAAAAAAGTGCAATTTCCTCAAAATTAGGGTTGGTCATGCTCATTATCCAATTCATCAAATTTGTCTGGCCTTACTGTAATTTATAGTGACTTGCTTTTTTTGTTTCAATTTTATTATTATAATCATTATATTTGTGAACTTAGCCTCCCCTGGATAAGGAACTTCAATTTGATGAGTCTGAGTTTGAGATGGTTTGTAGTAAGATTAATAGCAGGATCCTTCTGTTTTCTCTCTTATTTCACAACTTTTATGATTTATTATACTAAAAATTATTCATGATGTTTAGGTCCTTAATTACTGAAATCCTGTTGATGGCTTCCTTCTTTGAGATCTTATCTGGACATTTTCACAAAGTTCCGAAACCTGTTGGTGATATCCCTTATGTTGAAAACAAAATGTGGTCATAACTGTAATCAAGATCTCAAAAAGCAAGAATCTAAACATCACAAAATTAATGCTTTTCAGTATAACTATTTATGGATCTGTTGAAGCTGTTTTCTTAATTGATGATAGAGTGATGATTGATTTTCCTGCTTTTTTGTTTGTTTTTGTTTGTTTGATTGAGCCTCAAGGTTGAAAGTGTGGAAGTGAGAGAGAAACATGGAAGATCCTTGAAGTTTAAATACCTTTCCTCCTCATAGCTATATGCTGTTCTGCAACCAAGCAGCAGTGATATGCTGCAAGCACTTCTCCAGCTTCCTTTTTCTGTTTTATTGTTTCTCTTTAAGTTGCTAGACTATGTATATATGGCACAGTATGATTACATATCTGAATGTCTGTATATATAAGTACTGTACTAAATTTCAGTGTAGTGGTGCTTCAATTTTGTTTCATAAGTCGGGCTTGCAAACTCTATTGATAGCCTAAGTTTTCGTGCATAAAGTAGTCTTCTCTCCATAACTGGGCATTGTATCCATAAAGTAGAAATTGGTCTAAACTTTCACAGCAAAAGCATGGTCTACCAGAGTTAGAAATATAACCAGGTTTTAATTAACTTTGGGTCTCGTGTTAAAATGGTTAAAATGTTAAGTGTCTTTAGAACCATTTTTTACTAATCTCAAACTGTGCAGCATGCTATTTGCTAAAATCTGGGGAGAGGGTACTTATTATTAATTATAATGATTTAAAGTATGCAATAAAGCTAAGTTGTAATAATAAAAATCATGTTATTGCGGTGGGGGTTTTATTTTTGTTACGGTACTGATTTCTTATTAGTTACCCACAGTTATAAAAACACAAATGAACATGCTTTGATGTACAAATGTATGATTTATGTTATTAACTGCAGTTAATAGATCTAGAATGATGTGATTTTCAGCTGGTGGGCACATATTTTAGTACATGCTGATGAGTTATTTTTGTGGGGTAGTAGGTGTAGCATACTAGTAGGCTTGTTACCACTTAAATATAGGTATATAATATCATCCACTATGTAAGACTAACACAATTATTTTGGGAGGTGGTGTTTTAGATAAAAGAAATTGAGACTCCATTGGAAGTTACTTAGAATTCATTATTTTTGTTATTTGATAAAATTAAGATATTATTGGTTGTTCAATAAAACAATTACATGAATAGTGGGAAATTTCAGCCACTCTTAATCCTTAAATTTTATTTGATTATTTAGTGATAAATCATTTAGTGTGAGTGAAGTATTTTGGTCATAAAGAATGTTATTATAAAACTTATGTTTATATTCTTTCTAGCAGCATTTAACCCTCGCACAACACTGCCTTCTATATTGACATCATTTATATGTTAGCATGTGTGTTGTGAAAATTTTGGTTAACTGCTGTTACAGTAGTTGAAATTAATGTCAATAGTTATGTTATGATAACCTAAGATTCATGCGTATATGTTAATAATATTTATATTTGTGTTAATATTTGTGTATTCCAGTTACAAAAAAAGTCTTCTCAGCCTTTTTGTCTTGAGTCTTTTTTCACTGGCAAAATTGTCTGTCTGCATGAATGATGTTTTGCAGTATATGTACCAGCACATTGATTTATAATTTAAGGCTAATAATGAATGTTAGGCCTTCAGCACTGAGTTATACTGTGTGTGTGTGTCTGTGTGTGTGCTGACATATTATAGTTACTATCTATAAGCCAGTGATTGAGTTTTGTTATGAGTTTAATTGTAGCAGTAATACTTAAGAGCTTAAAATCAGTAACTTTATCGAACATAATTTCTTATTCACTCAAATTTCCCAAAATTTGTGTTATAATTTAACTTTTTTAGGTGGGTGGGGGTGGGGGACAAGGAAGTATATAAAGATCCAGTGCACATTGTATGCTTTAAATGGAAATCACATGTCAATTAAAACGTAACTTAAAACATCCTCATCTCTTGTTCTCATAGAAACCATTCAACCTGGCAGTGATGAACATTGGTGCCCCTGCTGCAGGGATGAATGCCTGTATGAGGGCCTTTGTTAGGATAGCCCAGACAGCTGGCTACACTGTGCTGGGTATTATAGATGGGTTTGAAGGCCTTTGTGAGGATAATGTAAGTATATGGGCAGGCAGGTGGTGGGTATGCTTGTTCATGCTCTGCACGTCCATACATGCATATGCTCATGTACATATTCACGTGCCCACACACACACACTCACGCACTCCTCGATAAGACACTTGTGTTCTGATTGAATTCTGACAATGTCATTGGAAAATTTGGCCTTGCTCTCTGTAATACTAAATGTGCTGTAATGTATCAGAAAAAATAAAATGAACTATGAAACCATGAAAAAAAAAAAATAATGAGTAACATAGAGGAAGACATTTACCTGTCGATTTTTTAAAAATAAGTAACTTGAGTTGTGACCACTTTGTTCCATGTGTTTTCTTTGAATTATTTGAAAAAAGTTTGAATTTTTCATTGAAATGTTCTGTTTAATTTTGTGATCATAATGTACAATAATAATAAATGTTGTCAGGTGCGCCCCATAAGCTGGATGGAGGTCCACAACTGGGTGGGGCAAGGAGGCTCTAATATTGGCACTAAGAGGTCAGTATAATATCTTTACCTACCACAGGACTCAACATTATGATCTTTTTTCACTGGGTTGCTACTGAACGCAATGAGGCCTGGTGGCGTGGTTGCTGTTCCAGATTCAAAATATTCTATGTGAAAGGTTATGCCAGCTTTACTACTTTTTTAACAAAAAGAGATTACAGAAAACTAATAGTATATATAAATATGTTATTGCTATCGTATAATCAACACTAACAACTACTGAACACTGTGTTTGCCAAGAGGAGTCAATGCCATAAAACACAATGTTAAATATTCAAAATAGAATGAGTTGCATTGTTGGACAACCGCTGGTCAAGATTTGATTGCCCGAGAGGAAAAAAATGGTTGCAAAATGCATTCACTCAACCCTGTATGTCAAGTCCTGTAACAAATAGACATGTTTGCATTTCAAACAGTTCTGTAATTTAATATTTAAACATTACCTTCATGATGCTTTAGGAAATGGCAGTCACCGTAAATGTGCAGGTGAAAAGACAACCAAGTTAATAATTGATGTTACTTTCTTGTTTTTTGATATAATACTTTCATATCTGATCATATCTGTGCTCTTGCTTCTTTGTAGGGTGAATGTAGGGAGATGTTTCAGATCTTTTTTTTTAATTGTATTTTAGACAAGTTGAGTGTGTTTTCTTTATGAAGTTCACCAGTCTGGTATTGTGAATAAATATCATAATGATACCATTTTATCAGAGATTTTTTCCCAATTATTCGTTAGATTACTACATGGGGCATTGTTGATTGTTATGTCATGATTCTTGGATGAACATTGCTGCTAGCTCCATGAAATTAAAGACATTAGAACTGTGACTAAAGATGTCATTGAAAGCATGTTCAATATCTATGCATTTTGTTAATTTTTAGGATTCTTGCCAGTGAGAAGGGTTATGAAGATGTTGCCAACAAACTTAAACAGCATAATGTCCATGGTCTGTTAGTGATTGGAGGGTTTGAGGTAACAGAGCTTTTTATCTATCCACCAATCAGTCTTTATTTGAATATAATGTTTTTGATATTTAAAAAAAAATTGTGTTAAACAATCATGATTATGGAGGGCCCCAAATCTTGTGGCTTCTAGCCTGCTTTCTCTGTATTGATGAAATTTAATTTTTATTATTATTATTATTATGATAGTAACAGTTATGTTATTCTTGAAGCTTTCTATCAAATACCAATGTCTGTTTTTGTTTGATATATATTTTATATATATTGTAAAATTATTGAAATTTCATGTTGTAAGTTTGAATGGATTATTGAACATCACTGAATTTTGCGTCAAATTCCAGGCATTTCACAGTGTGTTAAAGATGGCAGAAATGCGGGAGAAATTCGATGGATTCTGTATCCCAATGATGGTGATCCCTTGTACTATAAGCAATAACGTCCCTGGCACAGACTTCAGTCTGGGCTGTGATACTGCGCTCAACGAGATTGCTGATGTAAGTAGTGAAAAGTGCAGTAAAAAGACTGACAGTTTCTATTTTGTAGAATTGTTAACTGACTTTTTTATAGGTCCTCAAAATTAAAGTTACGCAATAAGCATTGAACCTCAATGTTATTATACAGGAAAATTCAGAACTTTCTCATCACTTTTGCCAAAGGATAATCCTTCAGATTGTTGATTATCAAATAGCCCTGAGTTCTTTTCCTTTTGTTTACTGACTTGTTTATTTATTTATTTAATTTATTTTGCAACATAAACTGTAATTAAAACCAAACAAGACAGAAAGATCACAAGACAACCAAACAAAAGTGTAAGTGTTAATCTTTCAGATATGTGATAGAATCAAACAATCAGCCACAGGAACAAAGAGGCGTGTCTTCGTGGTGGAGACCATGGGGGGTCACTGTGGTTACCTGGCAACACTCAGTGGATTGGCAGGAGGGGCTGATGCTGCCTATATATTTGAGGAGCCATTTGGTATTAAGGACTTACAGGTAACACCAATAGACCAAGTAACTGGTTATACTAAAGCATTTGTGTCTCTTATCACGTCTCGATTTTTTTTCCTTTTTGACTTATTTACTTGTTTCATATTTGCGAAGCAAAATTGTTTGAGCCGTAAAAGCTAGACTTAAAATTGATAATCCAAGGTTAATCCTCAGTTGTCCATTAAAATACAATATTGTGCCTATTTTATAACAAGAATAGGTCTAGAAGGACATGTCTAATGTTTTAGACTTAGACTTTTAGACTTAGGGAGCGTTCAGATAAACCTCATTATATTAGCTGGATCAATCCAACCGTGTGAGATACTCCCTAAGTAAAATAACTGTTATCTGCTTAAATGTCTGACGCTTCTCCTCGAGTTGCTAGGGGATAATTAGTACCACCAGCGTGCACGCTGGCGGTACTCATGGTTTAGTCCCGACCCGTCTCGTACGGCTCCGCCGGCTCCGCGTACTGGCGCCGGATACAAGTCACCGTTACCGCTTCTCCTCCTNGCCGGCTCCTGCGGCTCCGCCGGCTCCGCGTACTGGCGCCGGATACAAGTCACCGTTACCGCTTCTCCTCCTAGACTGCAAGGACCCATGTCCCCATCTCTTGGATTTAGGTCACATATAATCTCAACTTGAACCCCCTGTTCTTTTTGTCTCAGTCAGTGCATTTGCCTGGGCATGACACTCGTTGAAACACACCCTTGTCAAAATTTTTGAAAATTCAATGCTAAATATCACCCAAATCGAAGGAATTATGGGAAAAATTACTACAGAAGTCTGACCGAAAGTCATATGTGAAGATTCCAAATATGCCCTTGGATTTGACTTTTGACCTTTATTTCAAGGTCAAACGGGCTAAAATTTTCTAAAAATCTTAATTTTTTGCGAAAATTTTTTTATTTCTGCTGATTTTCAGAAACTACACAGATCTAACCTATAATATAATGGGTAGTTGTTACCCTTTGGGTCATCTTTCATCTTTTTGAGTTTGGGGTCAATCGGTGCATTTTCATGGGAGTAGCGGCCATTAGATCCCGAAACTGAAAACTTTCTCCAGTTCTGGAACCGTTAATGCTAGAGACCTCTTGTTTTTTGCATTTTGTAGAGCTTATCAAGTGCAACACAGAAGGTGGTGTCCATTTTTCCTTTTTTTGATTCGGCTTAGGCGTTGCATTGTATCAAAAAGTTCAGTATCCGATATTCATTGGTGAAAACAAAATGTGAAATATTCCAAAATTAGCTGAGATACGCCCATAGTTACTATTGAACTTGAATAGGAAGTCGTATACTGGTAATCTGACTGTGACTTTGAAATTGACCTTTGACCTACTTTTCACCATGAACTGCACTTTGCAAGTTTTCTGATCTTTATATCTCCAAAACTGGCAAAGATTCGGCCGTAGGTACTATTGAACTTGAATAGGAAGTCATATACTGGCAATTTACTGTGATCCTGAAATTGACCTTTGACCTAATTTTCACCATGAACTAAACTTTGCGAATTTTCCAGGCCCCCGTTTCACAAAAAAACTTAAGTCGGTTTCCCTGACTTAGGGCTTGGTTACCAACGTAATTAAGTCGTTACGTCACTAAGTCCCGTTTCACAAAGAATCTAAAAGGTCGCTAACGTCGTTTTTTTCTTAGCCGTAAGTCGACGATGTCAAGCCTCCTCGGGAGGAGACTTAAGTCGGCAAGCTCAACTAAAACTCAGTAAATGAGAGCATAAACAACAAAAATTTGGAAAGAACATACCTCCTTCAAGATACTGTGTTATAATATCCTTGAATAGCACTGACATTTATGGAATATT